AAGGAATAGGTCAAACTTTTGTCCTATCGCAGTACTGCTGCAGAAATTTTCAAAGCCACAGCAATATTTTTGCGTATGTGTTTAGCCACTTTTTGCAGACTTTCAAGATTTCTGGACTAGTGGACCAAGGCATACCAGTATCTTCGCGTCTCCAACGCCTGCTGTGTCGGCAATGCTGGAAGCTGCGGGGCCAGCTGGGACCTCTATGAGGTGGAAGTCTATGGGAGAAGCGACGGAGGGATTCTTGCCTGTTCCCAGAGACTCCAATGTCTCTTAAATAAGGAATATACGAATATACCTTAAANNNTATTATAATTAAAGATATATTCCTTAATTAAGGGAGATGGGAGTTTTTTGTGGTTGCCGAAACGGCTAGTCGAAGTTTAGGGTTTAGGGTTTAGGCTACTAGAAGGGAGGGGTACTATGGACTAAGGATCAACAGCAAGATATTTCCTTCGGTCGTTTCTGACTCGGGAGTGGGGAAGGGGAGATCAGCATCCTTGGCCGTGAACAACAACTTGGAGGACTGGTGGGAAGGCGACTACGACGTAGGTCTCAGCTGCAGCTGCTGGGACGAATCCAAAGTAGGTGGCCAGTGGATGGTTCTGGATTTGGGCGCGCCTGTCCCGGTATCCAAGATCCGGATCCATCAAGGCGGTTGGGGGAATGAGTACGCCGTGTCGCAGGTGCAGTTGGAGTGCTCGAACACTCAGAACTTTGTGGATCCCGCGTTGCGTTTCGAGGTGTCTAAGGAAACCACGACCCTCGAATGTAACTCCAGCAGTTGCGAGATCACGGAGTGCCATGGAAGCAGCTGCTCCTTCGCCTCCTACTGCAACGCTTCTGCAGGCCTGAGCTCGACGGTCTTGATCTCTTCCCCGTTCTCTCTGCTGGCCATGGTGCTGGCACTCCTGACGTAGTGCTGGGGCCTGGAAATCCAGTTAATTCCCAAACCCCTGGTCCAAGTATTGAGCCTATAAAGCCTTAAAAAAACTGATAACACCCCTGTACGAGCCCTTAAGAAAATCCTCTTCCATTTGCTGATACGACTATGTTTTCGGGAAAGCGTGCTGCATGTCCCAAGGACTTTTTTCCCGCATCCCGAAAGGCCGAAGGGCTTTGTCACCAGCCGACGCTGCAAAGCAGCTGCCTCTGCTGACCTCTGGTTGCAGGCTGTAAGCCCTATATAGATCCTTCTTTGATGCGGTATAAGGTCTAGAAAAAGCCCGATAAAAGCCGCGGCTAAGTCCTAAACCCTAACTCTAAACCCCAAACAGGCTGCTAAGGGTGATGCATGCTTACAGAAACTGCTTCGCTATAGACCCACACGCCGTCTCACGATTTGCTCCTGCCCCCCCCCAAAACGGCTGGAAAAGTTGAGCCTGCTGAGAGGATCATGGGCCTTACTGAGTAACTAGAAACTAGAGTAAAAAGTGGTGAAAAGGTTCATCTAGGGTACTTATGAGCGTAATTGCTAAGTCCGCGTGATCCTGCGGGGGGGGGGGGGGGGGCTCAACTTACTGGGTTCTTGCTGATGAACGTCATGTAAGTTTCAAGCTGACGGTTTAGGGTTTAGGTGACGGCCTGAAGCCTCAGTCTCAACTCGTCAGAATGCGAGAACTACGAAGTCAGAGTCGGGTAGACTCTCTGCTGTGCAACGGTTCTCCTGATGGCTCCAGGATGTCAGATGAGAGAGCATTTCTGGTTACTAGGTAGAACCCTATCAAGTGATACTATATAAGAAGTACCGTAAGGGTTACGGGGTTCCTATACACAAAGTCGCTCCAAAGCGCAACTCCGCCCAGCATCGGAAATGAGCTACAACGCCTTTAGGGTTCAGGGGTTTCGGGTTTTGTAGGTTTTAGGGGCATTTCTTTGCTAAGGGTCTGGCAATACTGAAGTTTGTGTGGCCCTTGCGATCGCTGAGCTTCGCCTCTGAGTCAGCAGGAGGCGGGGTCTGCTAGGCGGGGGTGGCCAGGAACAGGGTTTAGGGTTTCGGGTTTAGGGTCTATAGGGTTTAGGGTTTCGGGTTTAGGGTTTAGGGTTTAAGTTTAGGGTTTAGTGTTTAGGGTTTAAGTTTAGGGTTTAGGGGTTAGGGTTTAAGTTTAGGGTTTAGGGTTTAGGGCTTAGGATTTAGGGGCCTAAGTTTGACTATAGTAGAATATACCCCAAAAGCCTATTCTAATTATTAACGCCTTTATATTAGGGGCCTCAGTCATTCGAAGAGGGATTCGGGGTGTCTCATGGTATGGAACCCTACATAAGGACCAGTATTGGCGATCATTCCGACCCATATATTCGGATAAGGGGAGGGCTTGAGGGTAGTGGCGCCGCAGGACTTGCGGCTGCAGGGTTCAGGCCCTTGGGTTTTTTGGCACTGTGAGGTTTTAAGGGTTTTGAACTCACTGGAGGAGAAGGTTTCCGCAGTGACTTGACCTTTCCACCCACAAGGCGAAAACCCTACGGAACTCCAATGGCACCCTTTATGGCACCCCTTATCGTTAGCAGGATCCCCGGTCGTACCCTTAGCGTACCTGAGGTATCTCTGTAGCGCCCTGATACTGGATTTCTGTCAAAGAATTTCATACAAGTCACCACAATGCGGAAACCATACTATTCAGCAGAGGCCCCCTATCAATTAAGGGCACTTCATCCTCAACAAGGTATCCGTTACCGAAAACCGAACCCTAAACCATCAAGAGCGTCGAAGCACCACAACCCAACCCTAAACCTGGACCTGGAAGTTTATAGCAGAGCCGTCATACGGTTGTGGAAATAAATCCTGCATTACCTTAAGGACCCTAAACTATGGGAATTATGGTATATTCCTTGTTATGGGTACTGCAGGATTTATATCATCAACCGTAAGAGCCCTTCACAGAACCCTGCCCTAAACTATCCTTGTAATGGTACCCCAACCCGACGGCACCCCCTTAGAATACTCATTTCTAGTACCCTAAAGTACTTGCAGTATCCAAACTCCTAAACCCTAAACCCCTCAACGAGAAGCCCGCAAAAGGAACCCGAAACCCTTTTTGGTACCTTTAGAAGGAACCCTAAGCCCTTATAGGAACCTTTAAAGGAACCCTAAGCAGTCCCCAAACCGTCATGGAACCCTTAACTTCCCCAAACGATCCCATTCCCAAACCCTAAACCCTAAAGCCCTAAACCCTAGGCCCTAAACCCGTAAAGCCCTAAACCCCTAAACTCCTAAACCCCTAAAACCCTAAACCCTAAACCCCTAAACCCGTAAAGCCCTAAACCCCTAAAGCCCTAAACCCCTAAACCCCTAAACCCTTCAATCCTGAGCCCCTAAATCCTTCAATCCTGAGCCCCTAAACCCTTCAATTCAATCCTGAGCCCCTAAATCCTAAGCCCTTCTCCTTGTCTTGGGAGGTTAACAGGTCGCTCAAGCCCAGGCCCCTCACAGCCTTTTTTCTGCTGTCTGGCAGGTGCCTAGAAGTATGGCTTCATTAGAGTCGGCAAGGTCCGGACCTCGGCCCGAGCTTTTTCCAGGGCCTACGATTTTTCGGGTTTAGGGCTTAGGGCTTTTGCGGTTTCGGGTTTAGGGTTTAGGGTGTAGGGCTTGCGGGTAGAGGGTTCAGAGGGTAGGATTTCGGTATTTTTGGGGTGCAGAGGGGAAGATGTCGGGTTGAGGGTTTGGGGTTGAGGGTTTCGGGCTTGGGGTTCAGAGTTTAGGAGTTAGGGTACAGGGTCTAGAGTTCGCAGTTTAGGGTTCAGGGTTCAGATTTAGGGTTCACGGTTTGGGGCTTAGGCCCCTAAACCCTAAACCCGCGACCCTAAACCCGAAACCCTAAACCCTAAACCCGAAACCCTAAACCGGAAACCTAAACCCTAAACCAGTTCAGGTTTCAGGATTCAGGTTTGTTGGTTTGCGGTTTGGTTTAGGCGCTGGAGCTTCTCTAGGGTCCTCATTTCGGGTCGGTGATGGTTGCCAAGCATCCTCAAACCCGGAACCCCAAGACCCAACACCCAAAGCCCAAAACTGCAAAACCCCTAAACTGCAAAACTCAAAAAAGCCCAAAGCCCCTAACACTCTGACACCTTGAACTCCGAAAGCCTTAAAAAGCCGTAAACATGGGAGAAAACCTTACAACCAACCCGACCGTCCCAAAATCCCAAAACCTCGAAGCTCTGAAGCCTTGAATACCTTAGAGGTCCCCTATAGAAGCCTATTGCATCCCCAACAAAGGCGCAGAAAGAGGAACCCTAACCCCATAAACCCTGTAAGCCCTGTACTATACCTGAAACCCCAAAACCCTAAACCCTAAAAGCCCCACTACACCTCCTTATAGAGCCCTTAGAGTCATAGAAACCCTAGGAATCCTAAACCCTAAGACCACAGGAGCCCCGGGTACTATAAGGTTCTATAATAAGGTCCCCTTTCACGGGTACTACGAGGTCCTATGATCTAGGCCCCCTAAAAGGCGCCCTCAACGGAACCCTAAACCCTCAACCCCTAAACCCTGAGCCCATAAACCCTAACCCTAAACCTTAAGCCACACCCTAAACCCCTAAACCCTAAACCCTAAACCCTAAACCTTAAACCCCAACACCCCAAAACCGTAAACCCTAAACCCCCCCAAAACCCTAAACCTTTAAACCCCTAAACCCTAAACCCTAAACTACCCCCAAACCCCAAAACCCCTAAACCCCTAAACCCTTCTGGCTGCGAAGGAGGAGCCTCGCGAAATCTGCTCCCGAAGAGGCTCTACGCGAGGCCAAGGAGGCGATTCCGGCAACATCTACGTAAGGTTTTGCAGGATTCCTAGGGTTTCTAAGGGTTCTAGAAGGGCTTCTATAAGTCTTCTACAAGGGTTTCGAAGCGAAACAGAACGAAAGCTCAAACCGCAAACCTGAAACGACCCAGAACCTGAAAGGCTAGGGGTAGCTTGGCCGGGACATACTGTTGATGATATAAATCGTGCATGACTTTAAGGACTCTAAACTATGGGAATTATGGTCTATTCCTTATTATGGGTCATGCAGGATTTATATCATCAACCGTATTTTTCCCAAGAGGTTGCTGGGTCTGCCCGGGCTGCTGGAAACCTGCAGTTGCTGGCGGAAGCAGTCAGTTGGGCTCTGAGGACACGGTTTAGGGTTGAGGGTTTAGGGAGGCAGTTACGGCTTTCGGCTTCTAGGGTTTACGGGTTTAGGGTTCAGGCTTTAGGGTTCTGGGGGTTTAAGGTTGAGGGGTTGAGGGTTTAATTAGGGTTCGGGGTTTGGGGTGTACAATATATTTTGGAATAACTACAGTATTGACCCCTGTATTTGTGTCTTTGACTGAACAAGGTCTCGATACTTTATGAAGGTTTAGCTCCAAAACCTTGAACTGGGCCGGATTTGGCGAGTGCAGTCAGTTGTGGGTCGGTCCGCATCGTAGGAAGCGTTAGTTAGTTTAGTAGCACCAGTTGGAGTAGGAGTAGCGGCCAAAACCCTAAACCCTAAGGCAGCACGTCTTTGTTTTCTCTCCTCCCTCTCTCTCTGTTTCTCCTCTTGTGCCCTCTCAAACTCCGGAAACTTTATCCCTACACGTCTCTATTCCGAGTACCCCCAAAGCAAGCAGCTCTCTCCGTGTCTCTCGCTCTCTCTCGCCCTTGTGTTTCTAACCCAATGTTGTGGACTCTCTTTCCAAGAACATCCTAATAATACAGAGAAGCTTGAACTTTTGCATACACTATTCCTGAGGGCTCCGCCTCACTCTTTTCGTATAACCTAGCCCGACAGCCTTGTTCGAATAACGACGGGACATATAGTAAGGACGGTTGATGATACAAATCCTGCATTACCCAGAATAAGGAATAGACCATAATTCCCATAGTTTAGGGGTCCTTGAGGTAATGCTAAGGATTTTTTTGTCATCAACAGTACCCTTCCAGAACCCTAAACCCTAAAC